TGAAAGATACAGGGGGTATATTAAAAAATAAATCTGTTTCTACGACCTTTGCTAAAGTACATTTGAAATACCATATCGTTACTTTCACACTAGTGTATGTGAACTATCTCTGTTGTTTCTTCTGGTCTCTATTTTTTCCTTTCACTCGCCCATGTCTTCTTGGTGCCATGCTAACCACACAACACTAAGGCCAGAGGTTGGGGGATGTGATGCCAGGAACTAAGGCAGTGAGTAAGGAGGCGTGGTTGGAAGTGAGAGCAACAGGAGAACTCATCTGTCATCTCATCCCTCTGAATCCTGGCAGTACCATATTTTAGAAACTTAATCCCAAGAGGAAGTCAAGTATATCCGTCTTTCCCCTGCCCTTGTTGCATAGCCATATCCATGTGTCAAGGAATGGCCTAATTGTATACTCCTTTTGTAAAGCAGGAAGTCGTTGAGATGGAAAACATTAATCTGCATTTCCTCTGACACTTCTTTTATTGTCATACCCTGCACACAGTTAGTGCTCAAGACCAGCTCATACTTCTCCTAGATATTTCTAGAATTTATGTCGTCCTCTCCAATCCACTTACACTGCTAGGCTTTCATGGTCTTAAATCTGGATTATTGCAGGAGCCTCTTTTTTTTTTTTTTTTTTTTTTTTTTTTTTTTGAGACGGAGTCTCGCTCTGTCACCCAGGCTGGAGTACAGTGGCGCGATCTCGGCTCACTGCAAGCTCCGCCTCCCGGGTTCACGCCATTCTCCTGCCTCAGCCTCCGAGTAGCTGGGACTACAGGCGCCCGCCACCTCGCCCGGCTAATTTTCTTGTATTTTTAGTAGAGACGGGGTTTCACCGTATTAGCCAGGATGGTCTCGATCTCCTGACCTCGTGATCCGCCCGTCTCGGCCTCCCACAGTGCTGGGATGACAGGCGTGAGCCGCCGCGCCCGGCCTGCAGGAGCCTCTTACTTGGTCTTTCTGCCAACAGTCTTTTCCTATCCCAGTCCATACTTACTACCAGCTCACTGGAGTGGCGAGCTAATTACAGTCTGATGTAAAATATTTCCATGGCTCTCTGCTGCCTGTCAAACAAAGCAAAAACTCCCTAATGCAACACAGAAGGCCCTCCACGATCAGACCCCAGCCCAGTCCAGGCTTCAACTCACCACTCTCTCCCATGCATTCTACAGTCCAGCCATATCAAGTTGTTTTCATTCCTGACCTCCGTGCCATTGTACGTGCTGGCCACACTTCCAGGAATCTCCTTATCTGCCCAACAAATTCTATTCATTCCTCAAAACCCAGCTCAAGAGCATCATTTCCTCTGACTCCTTCCCAGGTCCACTCAAAGTGATTCCCGCAATTGCTTCTTGTATAATTCCCATAGATGTATAAGCATACTTCTGTCAGAGCACTTCTCATGCTCCATCATAATCATTTTCTCACGTCCATCTCCCCCCAAAAAAATGTGTCTCGAGGAGTAGACTAAGTGGTTCATTCTGCAACTTATTCAGTAAATACAGGGCTCAGAATCCTGATGCCGCTATTTACAAGTTGGGGAAACATCTAAAGGTCCCTAACATCTTTGATCCTCAGCTTCCTGATACACAAGGAGGGGCAGTGATAGAATATAATTCATAATGTTGTTATGAACAATAAATACAGTAAGAGAAGTAAAGCCCTTAACATAATGCTCATATATATGCTGGGTGATGGCTATTATCATTATATGATTACTGTGTGCCAAGCACTTAGTGCAAAGACAATTGAAGTCTGCCTTCGAGGTCTTTAGGGTATAGCTAAAGAGACAGACAAGCAATAAGCTCAACGTCAGAAGACGCAGAGGGTGCCATGAGAGCTCAAGATGGGGCACCTGTTGTCACTAAATGTCACACCTGCTGGAAAGATTGAAAGCGGAAGAATCTGAAACAAAGGAAAACAGGTGCAGACTATGGACACACTTCAGTGAGACATGATGCTGGCCTGCACTACAGCAGCAGCAGTGGGCAGGAAGAAAGAAACCGAGTTTGAAGATATCCTGGAGGCGGATCCAGTCATGTGACTGGATGAATAATGAGACATTTGGGGTGGTCCGTGTGGGGTGGGTGGGGAGTCTGGGTGAACACAGGTGGGTGGGAGGGTTATGTATGCAGACACAGGATCCATTGATGTGTTGGTTTTAACCGAGCAGTGAGAGAGCATGTGATCCCCAAGGAAAGCATATGAAATGCACGAGCTGAGCAGAGGGCTGCAAGGTGCAGCAGCACTCGGGAGGTGGTGAGGATCAAACAGGACCGTGTACACAGACAGACAGTGCCCGCACTGAGAAGTGTCCCCATAGTTCCACCAAAGACAGGCTCCTTCATCCCTCTTGGTTTGGTGCATGTTCCCAAGGAAGCCTCTGCGTCACAAATACTCACTGACCACTGACTGTGTCCCAAGCCCTGGGCTCTAGGTGCTGTGTGTAACTGCAGCTACGGAAGCAGGTTCCCACGCACTGCAGACCCAGCCCAGGGAGGGTTCTTAGAGAGGTCATGTCATCCTCCTAAACACATTTCCAGAGCACTCGCAAAGGCTCTTTTCTCAAAATCCTCAACAACAACGAAACCACGTCAGGAGTATCTGTTCAATTCCCCATGGCAGAGGCCGGGGGTGCTCCCTGCTGAGGCCAGAATCCCAGTCCCCTGAGGTCATCTGAACTGCTGGTCAGAAGTCTGGGACAGCAGTGGCTTAAGCCCCCGGACACTGTCTGGGACTGTGGCCAGGTACAGGAACAGGGAATGATATGAAGGCGATTGCTTCTAACAGCCTAGGAGTGCAGCTAAAATCTCATCAAATTCCAGCCATTCCCCACGACAATATTTTCACCCTTTTCCCAAATCCAGTTTTTCACGAGGAGATTTCCTCCTCTCTCCATCTCCCTCTATCCTACCCTTTCTGCCAAAATTGTTCTCCTTTGGAAACAAACAGTTCTGTTTCTTCTTTGGAATGCCTCGGGAGGTCGGGAACTCTTATCTCCTCCTTCCCAACATTCTGGACACTGCTTGGAATGTGACTTACGTTACTGACCACAGCTCAGGAGAGCAAAACAAAGGCAGGGCTGCCCAGCTGAGCACGAACGGGTGGGCCTGGAGGGAGGGGAAGGTGAGGGCTGAGTTTCTGGCTGCCCTCTCCCTGCCCAGTTTCATGCTTCGAAGCAGCAAACATTTCATTGCAGCCTTCTCACAGCGGCCAAGGGCTGAGGGGTGACACCGTGGCAGTGATGTCTGAAGAGCCTGAAGGGGGATGTTCTGCTTTTCTGGGATTTGTTGCTGGGATTGCAGGCTTCAGCGCTGACTCACCCACGAGGGCTGGACACAAGCCAAGGAGCAAAGGAACGACGCTTGGGTCACACGCGCTGCCCTTGGGCACGCCAGCTCAGCCTGCTGGGGGCTGGCCAGGGTTCACTGGGCAGGCTGAGCACGACCCAGGGGTCGACACCTTTTTGCAATTATCAAGGTTTATTTCTCACTGGGGCAAGAACACATTCCTCTCCAGAGGATGGATTACAAAGCAAATCGTTCCTGCCTCTCTTCAAGGGCCAGCAAATTGAGGAAACTGCTCCTTCCTTCTCCAGAAACTTTAAAATGCAGGCAGCTTTGTTGCCCTCCACACACCCCATTGCCTTACCTGGAGCTCTCCTGAACCTCCAGACCCCGCTGTAGTTGGGACCCAGCCTCCTCTGCTTCCTCTTTCATTGGCTGATCCCCAAAGCAGCCCAGAGGACCTTTTCCTTAGAAAGGTTTTACTGGCAATTGCTTCAATGGAAAACAAAAAGGATTACAAAAATAACCCCAGGAATATGACATTTTGAGCAATTTTAGAAAGGTCTTACAATTGCTGACTTCCAGCTTAGACATTAACCCAGACCCCTGCGGGCCCCTTCTGGGCTTTCTGCTAGCTCCTAGACTGATGCACGACCTTCTGGCTAGTTCTTCCTTCTTCCAGAAACTTCTATCAAGTGCTGAAACTTTGTCCAACCTCCCCACAACCCTCACCCACATGCCTGAAGGGGCAGCTCTCCCAGTTCATGAGGAAGTCATTCCCTATGGCCTTGCCCTGCTGGAAAGTCAACAGGAGAAATTCCTTCATCTCTGAACCCCAAACTGAACACAAACCATCAGCTAGCAAAATCTGAACCATAACCGGCCTATACGCCCAGACTGCTAAAGCTGGAAGTGCCCTCACAGAACACCGGATCTACCCTTCTCACTTTGCAGGTAGGAAATGAGGATTCCAAGAGAGGATCTCAGACCTGCGACCAACACGAGTTTCTAGATGTTCTTTACGGTGCGTCACACCTCTCCCATGCCTGCGTATTTGCCAGCGTTTCCAGACCAAAACAAAACTAGGAAGAGAGACACGTTCTCCAAAGAGAATGAACCTTTCCCTCGGGACACTCGGGGTTTCCTCCTAAGGCAGGAGACTGGAAGCCCACAGGACGGGGCCCCTCTGGCCTCTCCCGTGCCTTGCGCCTCACCCACGCGCAGCCCCAGAGCTTCTCTCAAGCCCTCCTCACACCCCTGCCCCAGCGGCCCCCAGGACTGGGCCTTCTGCTTGTCTGCTACAAGGCCCCTGTCCCCTTTTAACAGGGCTGCTGTCTCATCCTTCAATCTTGTTTCATTGTCCCTTCCTCTGAGGGGCTTTCCCTGATCACTCTCCCACACCCAAGCTCTTTTTTCTTCCTTTCTTGATTTGGCTTCTTCTCTCTGAAAAAAGGTCAAATCCAATTAAACACCCACACCCAAGCTCCCACTCTCAGCATCAGTTGGTGTCTCCTTCACTTGTAGGATGATCTGTCACAACTCTGTGCTTGCTGACTTGAGCTCTGCCTCCTCAGCGAACCTGGGGGCTGCGCAGGACCAGGACTATGCCTGTCAAGGTTACTGCTGTCTCCATAGCTCCTAGCACCGTGGCTGGGCGCTCCACGGATGTGAGCAATGCACGCGTGAATGAGAAGTAATCACAGAGGCAGGACACAGGTTTTAAACACTTCCAGCTTTATTAGGAGAAGGCTGTGGTCACCTCAGCAGCCAGCTCCCCTGTATACACAGTATACACAGCCCAGCCAGCACCCAGGTCCTTCCATCCTTCTGCAGTACATGGAATGCAAAAGAACCAAACAGAATGGCGGGGAGGGAGGGTCTACCAGTGAGTGTCAGTGTCTAGTGTTCCGGGAGGCAACTGCCAGGCCAGGGACACTCAAGTCCCTCAAACTGTCATCAGCTCCTGCCAGACCCCACTCCAGCATGACGAGGCCCATACGAGAGTGTTTGGGCCAGACTCCTCCAATCAGTGCATGCAACGGGCAGAGGAGGCTGGGGAATCCTGGGCCCAAAGCCATACTGGTCCATCCCCCTGAAGTAGTTGTTGGAGCTTTCAGAACGTTCCTCTTCTTGTGTAGACATGAGATACCGCTGTAACTTTACTCCATCACCAGAAACCTGTGTCTTGAGTCTAGTCTCTGCTCAGCCCTCGAGGGCATGGTTGGATTAAGGAAATAGTCAAAGGCAAGCAAGACAAACTCCCTAGGTTGTCTTGGTCATGCGTCTTTTAAAAGGGGAAAGAAGAAAAAAGAAAAAAACACCACAACAGATAAAAGCACTGAGGCCTGGCTTGTGTCAGGAGCCAGAGTGGTTGTCCTTCCTTGAAATGGTTTGTAAAGTACTGATGGCAAAAGCTGTTCTGCTCTACTGGAGGCCAGCCTCCTACCGATGGCACCTCTCTTCCCACCCACCCACTCCCCCTGCCATCCCGCACAGCCCCCATGCCACCCTCTCCTCCTCAAGGAGGGAGTGCACCAAGCACAGGGCGCAGTGCTGTCGTCAGCTAGCGAGGATCTGCTTCTGCCTGGTACCTTGGTCCCTTTTGTCCCTGTAGCCCACAGTGGCCACTGGCACAGAGGGGTTCCTCTTAGTCCTTCAGTCCCTGTAGCCCACAGTGGCCACTGGCACAGAGGGGTTCCTCTTCACTTAGTCCTTCAGGGGTGACTGCAGCCCTGCCTCAGAGACTGGCACCCCCTCTGCCCCTGCATGAACTCCGTCCAAGGGCTCCAGCCCAGCGCTAGACCCGGCTGAGAACATCGTCGCAGAGGCTTGGCTGGGAGTGGGCTTGTGGATTCTGACTATTAGGGAAACCCACAGAAAAGAGCTGAACTCTTCTCTCCCAGGAAGACACATGCTTTGATTTTAGCTCAATAAAATTCTCCACCGAGGCCCTGGATCCATCACCTACACTCAGAAGCAGAACATCCCGTGTACACAGTGGCGCATCCAAACCTTCAAGAAACACCCTGCTTAGCCAAAGCAGCTCTAACCCCAAAATAGCTCCCCACTTGGAGCTATAGAAAACGCCTGTTTCTATTTTCCTGACCTGTCTAAAAGACAGACAGGTCTCCAGCAGTTCATACTAGTGGCTGCCAGGCCCCCTGGGTCAGTCATCGATTCTTGGTGCCTCCTGAAACCTACTCCCAAGGAGTCTGAAGAAAGAGGCCCCGTCTTTGGCTTTGGAGCCCAGCAGGGGGCTGGGCTGTGGGGAGCAGGAAGCCACACACCACGCCCTCATTTCTGTGGCTGGAAGCTCAGTCTCCAAAGGCTGAGTGTGGTGGAAGGACCAGGTCACCACTGTCCTAGGTGGAGGATACGGCTGGGTTCCTAGAGGGCATAATCTGAGGTAGCAAACAGTGGAGAAGCTTAGGCCTGGGATACAACGTGACGTACCCAGGGCAGACAGCAGTAGCTGTTGGAATGAAGACGAGTTTATAGGCACACAGATGTTCAGCACCTAGCCCTCATAGGCACGCCCCACCCCCTCACAATGGGTGCAGGCCTGTGGCCACTGTCAGGGCTGTCTGAGGTGACACAGACCCTCCGATGTCAGCCTGCATATATGTGCCTCTCTGGAGGAGGAAGCCATCAGAACTGCAGCCTCCTCCTCCCTATCCCAGGGTGACATCCCCCAAAGCCAGGCCCAGAGCTCAGCACCAACCCCAGTCCAGTGACAGCAGAACCCTCCAGAACTTTCCAAAAACTCCCTGCATCAGCCACAGACTCCATCGCCCCTAGCTAATGTCAACGTCTTTCTGTAATGGCCGGCTCCATCTTGAAGAAGACAGCAGGCTCCCTACTGACTTCCCCCACTCCCTGCAGAGCCTCAGAGAACGCTTCGGTGGCAGCCCCCCCCACCAGCCCTACACCCTGCACACCAGAGGAAGGAGAGGCTGCTTCTTTAAGGGAGGGCCAAGAGTGCAGGACGAGGAACCTCAGGACTCCCTGTTTACATCCACGTCTTCCACGGTGGAGTGCCAGGCTCCAGGGGCCCTAATCTCATTCTCCCCGTGGCTTCTGCCCAGCCCCAGCCAGCTTTTATTGCTTAGTCCAGGTCAGTTCAAAAAAGAAGGTGGGCTAAAAGCACCGTGAAAACCCTGCCTCATTCAGACACGGCTCAGAGCCCATGGGGCCACCTGAGGGTGCCAAGCTGCTGAGACATGGCTCTTCCAGCAGCCTGTGGCCTCCCTTCCGGGGGCCAGGGTCCCTGAAGTTCTGCCTGGAAGGTGCCCATCCTCCAGGTCCCTTGGAAACTGGGCCTCAGCACCTTCTGCCCTGCACCTCAAAGCCTCTTCCCGCAACCGGCCCGAGGAGCGGGGCCTGAGGTAGACTGTGCGGGAGTGTCTGGGCTTCCCTCTGCCCAGTCCAGGGAGGAGGAGGGAACCTCTCACCCCAGCCCATGGTCCTTGTCCCTGGATGTGGGTGACATCGTGGCGTGAGCCCCTGGCCACCGTCCTCTGCCCACTACTCCAGCTGGCAGAATGCTGGCACATCAGTGGGGTGGAGAGTGAGGGGGAGAAAGGGATGACCCCACTCAGCACGGCCTCAAGACACAGAAGTCCAGCTCCTGGGGCTTGCGGCGCAGGTTGCACTGGTCCCGGGCCAGCAGCCGGCCTCCGTGGCCCACGCACTTGAGCGGGCGCCTCTTAAATCCCCGGCCGCAGCTCTTGGAGCAGGGTGACCAGGCGCTGAGCTCCCAGGTGGGGCAGGGCTCCCCACAGGCTTGTGTCTCCACGGGCCGATGGGCTGCATCACAGGCAGGGACCGCGCGCTGCCCCGGGGAGCCCCGGCAGTCCACCGCCCGCTTCTGCAGGCCGCTGCCGCAGCTCACAGAGCACGGCCCCCAGCTGCCTGCCACCCAGCGTGCAGGGGGCCTGTCGTCCGGCTGCTCCACCTGGTTGGAGAGGCTGAGGACGCTGTTGTGCAGGACAGAAGGGCCCCGGGGGTCCTTGGGATGGGAGGACTTGTCCTCCCGAGGCTCTTTGGGCAGATAGAAGGAGTAGCGGACCCGGGGCGGTGTCATCTTCCCCACGGAGAGGACCTCCACGGTCAGCGGCTCCAGGATGGGCCGGGAGGCCTGCAGGCTCTCCACTGCTGTGCCCGTGCCGCTGTACCGCAACAGGCTGCCCTTCACCACCAGGTCCCGCTCCACTGCGGACACCACGAAGTGCCCGTTGAGCAGGTACTTGCCTTGGCTGTTCTTCAGAGCCAGGTAGTTGTCATCCCCAATCAGCCCCTTGTAGCCACGCTGGCGGATGTCGATGCTTGAGGCGCCTGCGGGGATGGCCACCACGAAATTGTAGCCATGCCTGGGGTGGGAAATGGGGGTTGTGCATTAGACAGAAGCCTGGGCCTAAGGACCTCACCGCTCCAGGATCTGTTTCCTCAGTAAACCTAGCTTTTGGTGAATTCTGGCATGGGAGGGAAAGCACAGGTTTGGGAGTCAGAGAGGTCCCTGCCCCTTGGCGATTGGTGCTGGGTAAGTTGCTGAGCTTCTCCAAGCCTCCATGTCCTCACCTGTAAAGTGGAGCTCAGAATTCCACACACCTCATTGAACTGCAGGGAGGACTGAGTCCACCAAAGCACATAAAGCATGTAGCATGGTGCCTGGCACACATCAAGGATGTGTAGACATCTGCCGTGAGGACGAGGAGGAGGAGGACGCCGAGGGGTGGAGCGGGGGGATAAGTCCACCATGCTGGAGCCTGAGGCTAGGAGCTCAACGCGGTGAGAGGACACTGGCCCTGGAGGCAGGGACGCAGATCCAGCCTGGCTCACACGCCAACTCCTGGCAATTTTAAGCAAGCCAGAGTCTCTGGGTTCTGATGTTCTCATCTGCATAATGAGTGGGTTAAGCTAAATGATTTCTAAGGCTCCTTCCAGCTCCAACAGGCTGTGAAAAGAACATCTGCCATTTAACCAGTGAGGCGAGCCTGGGGTATGTACCTCCTACTCCCCATGTGGCCTCCCCACCACAGGACCCTGCGAAGCACAGCCTGGAATGCCATCTGTCCCTGGTGCCGAGCTCCCAGAGACGGGGTTGGGCATCCTCCCTGCGCATCACCACCCAAGGGCTCAGGAGAGGGTGTTGTGGCCGGGAGCACAGTCAAGGCTCCAGGACAGCCATCTAGGCCTTTCCATCACCAGCACCTGGACTCCCAAATTTTCCGGGCCAACCATAGCCCCCACTCCCAGCTGGGACTTCAGGTGCCCTGCCCGCCCCCTCTTCTTCCAGCACGTGGATCAGGGCTTTCCAAGGAGCATGTGTTTGACCTCAGGAAGCTCAAGCTGGAGGCCCAGATTCTGCAGCTAGGACTAGATGCCCAGGGATTGTCCAAGACGTGAGGCCTCCTTCAGTCCCAGCCACTCACTTGCTGTCTCTTGGCAGTTTATTGCCATTCTCACCTCAGTCTGATCCCCAAGGTCAGGGCCTCAAGTCCAGGGAGAGCCTCGCCAGTCTGCACGTTCAGCCTCATCAAGTGAAGCGTGTCATTGGCATTTTATTATGCATCCAGTACTGATGCCAACTATTGTTTCTTGAACTAACTCCGCTTATTTCCTCACATCGTTCATGACATACACATATTTTAGTTTATATCCACTTGATACAAGTGGGAACATCTAGAGATCCTGGAGATATGGATTCTCTCTTTTGCCCAGGGCATATCCAGAAATGATGGTAACTGCGATCTGAATTCCAGGTCGAAGTTTCTGCATCTAGAACATATACATTGAACCCCTAACAAACTTCTGGACCCACCTTCCTGAAATACCCGATCTTCCTTTAATGTGCGTCTTCCCCCAGCAATTCATCTTTTGTTATGGTGCAAAGATATGAATAATGAGTTGAAATGAATTGAGGTTGATTGAAGGACTAGCAGCTCCTAGATGGTGGCTCTGCAGACAAAGGGTACTGCCTGGATCGGACATTTACACCCAGTCGTATGACCCAAGTATCCAATGCCCTGGGAATTCCACCCTCCCTCCTTTGCCCCTGGAGCACCTTCCAGACCATCCCAACCACATGGGACTTGGTGAAGAGTCCTGTCACACCTTCTGTCAGCTCTTATTGTCCCTCCCCACATTTCATCCCCACATCATTGTCGAACACCCATCCTCTTTGGAAGCCCAGGTTCCCATCACAGCCCAGATCCTTGATGCACCTTGCTTGCACAGACGGAGGTGGAGTCGGGAGAGCACAGCGTCGCGTCCAACGGATCACGTGATGCATGCCCCAAAGAGGAAATAAAGAAGATTGCCAGAGCACGCTAAGCCTCAGCCAAATGCTCCAACCCAAAGACCTGGTCCCGTGCCGTTGTTACTCAGGACCCCAGGATTCACTCACACATTTGGAGTTGCCAGCACATAGAAGTAGCCAGTGACCATTAGCATCGGCAGATGTGAGCTTGCATCTTCTACCCGAGGAAAGACACGCCTGAGTACTTGGCAACCAATCATTCAGCCACCGGCCAGATGCGCCCGTGGTGCTGTGGTTGTAGCCAATTGGAAAGCCTTCACCAATGCCTCCTCCCGGAAGCTTCCTTCCGGGGCTAGGAGGGAGAAGCCATAGAAAAAGTTGAACGGGAAGGGTGAGGCCAGTGCAAAGGGACAAGCCTCTCTCACCGAGCCTGCCATAGGCTTCTTAGCCTTTCCCCACCCTTGTCCCAAAGCTCAACCATTCCCCATCTCACAGTTCAAAGCAGGCCTGGAGCCCAAAGGACCTCCAGGGTGCAGCTCCCCCTCCCGTGACTATTGCACCTACCTTCCTCTACAGTAACCCAGACTCTAAACTCCCTTCTAGGATTCAAACTAGTTTCAGAATATTAAGTACCTCAGGTCAATAGTACAAATTGACACAGATTTACCACTGACAGTACACTAGTTACCATATTGCTACACACTTCAACTAATATTTTGAAACAAGGTCTGTGATAATTGTGCTTTTTTGTTATATGCATACATATATTCAGGGCAGCAGCACAGTAGGTCATGCCTGTAATCCCAGCATTTTGGTGAGGCCGAGGACAGGCAGATCTCCAGAGAGTCAGTGGGGTTCAAGACCAGCCTCACAAACATGGGAAACCCCATCTGTACTAAAAATACAAAAATTACCAAGCATGTTGGACAGGACGCTAGCAATCCCAGCTGCTCAAGCATCGTGAGGCATCGAGGCGTGGAGAATCTGAATCTGAGGTGGAGGTTGCAGTGAGCCGAGATCACGCCACTGCACTCCAGCCTGGGCAACAGAGTGAGTGAGACTCTGTCTCAAAAAAGCAAATATACATATATGTGATTCAGTAATGAACCTGATAACTACTATAATTTTGAAGTAAGGATGAGCTTAAACAGCATTTTGAAAATTCTGCAACAACCAAAATGTCCCATCATCAAATATCCATGATTCCTATTGATGACAAAGTCACAGGTACTTCTACTACTATTATAGTTTTGTTGTCTAACTGAAAGAAATACTAAATTTCAGATAGAAAGGTAGTTTAAAAAAATACTAATTTCTCTCTGAAAGAAATACTAAATGTTAGATTGAGACATTAATAAAAATAGAGATGTAATTTTTTTCCCCACCAAGTTATTGGGCTCTGGACTCCTGCTTACAAAGATGGGCTGGGCAGGCCCCAGCTAAGAGGACTTCTAGTGTCTCATTCCTATGATCCATTTGTCTCCCAGGCTAAGCATCCAGAAGGAAACACCCTTGCCAAAGGTGAGTGGAAAGAGGAATGATCCCAAGAAGAATCTGTACCTCTCCACTTCCAGGCTTTGTCCTGAAGGTTAGAATCTTGACTGCAGTCCCTTCGTCATCGATAGGAATCCATGATAGAAATACCAGCCTACCTGAATTACCTGTATACCCAATTACCTGGAGGCCTTGCATTACATGAAGTAGGGGTGGGGTAGGGGTGACCTCCAGCCTTGCCTCCCCTGGGCCCAGGCCACCGCTGCTCTCCCTGCCTCACCTGAACTGGGGCAGGGTTCCAGGTTGCAGGATCGGTATTTCACCCTCACTCCCTCGCAGTACTTGCCCCCGTTGGCAGGAGTGGGGTTGGTGCACTGCCTCCTGGCCAGCTGCACGCCCCCGCCACATGTGCGCGAGCAGGGGCCATAGGGCTCCCATTTGGCCCAGGAACCGTCCACCTGTGAGGAAGAGCCTGTTATACTCCTTGGCGGACCCAGGTGCCACACCCAGCCCCCTAGCCCATAGAAAAGCTGCACTGTACAGCCTTCAAGTTCTCATCCCACCTTCCCGGAATGAAATTCATATTGTATAAGGAAGAAAAAAACAATAAGTAAATGGCCAGTATACACCGAGCCCACCCAACGTTCCAACCAACTAATTAGCAAACAGCAACTGCTCCCAGATGCAAAGGAGGCCATGCAAAAGAGAGGCCTCACTGGGCGGTGGGGTGATACAGACGTTTTTTTTTTTTTTTTTTTTTGAGGCGGAGTCTCCCTCTTTTGCCGAGGCTGGAGTGCAATGGTGCAATATTGGCTCACTGCAACCTCCACCTCCCAGGTTCAAGTGATTCTCCAGCCTCAGCCTCCCAAGTAGCTGGGATTACAGCTGCCTGCTACCATGCCCAGCTAATTATTTTGTATTTTTAATAGAGACGGGGTTTCCCCATGTTGGCCAGGCTGGTCTCAAACTCCTGACCTCAAGTGATTCGCCCATCTCAGCCTCCCAAAGTGCTGGGATGACAGGCGTGAGCTACCGCGCCCAGCCAGACGTGTTTTCAATGGACTCTGCCCATACCACACCACCCTAGTGGGCTTGAGCAATGGCAAATCCTCCTTAGCCTTCCAGGGCTTCACTTGCAAAAATGGGGTGGATAATACTAATACTACTCGGGCCTGATATCAGGTGGGTGATAGAAGTGGCCTAACGGTCATGAAAATTCCCAGTACCCCGCTGGCCCCGGCAGAAGTTCAGAGATTCCTCGAATCCCACAGCTTGCCGGGAATAAAAGAAAAAACAAAAGACGTTCCCTTTATTTGTTGTCAGGGCATTCACAGGCATCTCTAAGGCATGGCCAGCCCCCAGCCTTACGGATAAAAAATGTCACCATAGATATGTGAATGTTTTTATTCCTTAGTGTTCGATAATTCAGACTCGACGCCAGACCAAACTGATCTTAACCTCGATCGGGGGCTGTATTTGAGAAAGTTTCACCATGAACCATTCTAATGTTTCTTTTAAGAAGAGATAAAGATAAGACACTATTAAGCAATCCTAAAACTCTATTTGGCTTCGGGGTGAATTGTGCAGTGTTTTGGAGGGCTTTTTTTTTTTTTTCTAGTTTTTTTTTTTAACAGGGTAGAAAGAGAATAAAATTTACGGTATCCATGATGTTTTCCTTAGAATGACAGTGAAATGAGTGTGGATCCTCTGAACACACATCAGTTGAGCAATAGAGGAAGCAGTCCAGCTGCTGTACTCGCCTGGAATTACAACTCTGCCACCGACCGTCCACACAGTGCCTAACTCACATGGAACTAAGCAGGAACTGGCTGCATGTCATAGAAACACTTTAACCTGTGTACATATCCAGCATATTTATTCAATCTACCCTTTTGTCAGATAGTTCTTGTTTCGTTGCGTCAACATCTGTTTGATCCTATAAAAAACAACCACCAGCACCCTCCTTCAACCCTGCTTTGGCCTCAAACTACTCAAACTAGTGCCTCACCTCATTCCATCCTTTCACTCCCTGAGAGTGTCACCCACATTGGCTCTTTCCTCATACTCACTCCCCAGAGCCTGGTACTGTGGGTTTTGTCCCCATCACACCCCGGAAGCTGCCCTCTCAAAAGCCACAACGGCCATGTGAAGACTAAAAGAGTGTGCCTAGGCCTCGTGATCTCCAATTCTTCTTCAGTGTGTAGCACTGTTCCTGCAGCTTCTGAGACAAGGCTACCTGGTTTTTATTTGGTATCACTGCTTACCATTCGTACAAAAAACGTTCACTCTGCTCCCACCCTATGCCATTCACTCATTCCTTCACCAAACACTCACGCAAGTCCCTGCCCTCAGGGCAATTACTCCCTAGTGGGGAGACAGACAATAAAAATGAATCTGTGAACGCAGAGTGGAGGCTGGGCTTCCAAGCAGGGGGGAGGGAGGAGTTGGGAAGGGCTGCTCTGGATTACGGGGAACTCTCTTGTGCCTGAAGGATGTACAGGTGGCATAAGCCATGCAGACATCAGAGAAAGGGCATTCCAAGCAGAGGGAGCAAGTGCACCGGCCCTGAGGGGCGGGGGATGAGCCTGAAGGGCGCCACTGTCACTAGGGCCAACAAGGCAGCGAGAAATGGGATCGCTCATTCTGAGCCGTGGCAAAGCCCCTAACGGGTGCGGAGCAGAGAAGCGGCATAACCTAAGGTGCATTTCAACAGAGCTGCCACGGTGGGAATCATCTGTAAGGAGTAAGAGCAGAAGCAGGGAGACCAGTTAGAGGTAACTGCATTAATCCAGGGGACGGGGGGTGGTGGCTGGGGCCAGGGTGAGAGCAGATGAAGTGCTGAGAAATGATCCTGGATCTGCCTTGAAGATAGCCCCACAGGGATGTGGAGATACAGGCTGTGAAACATATGAGAGAAACAGAGTTTCAGCTTGAGCAACCGGAACGTGGAGTTGCCAGCGCAGCTTCAGGGGGGATGACCAGGAGCTCAGTCTCACCGACACATGCATAAGATACTAATCAGGTGTCCAATGGACACGTCCAGATTCCCTTACAGATGCAAGTCTGCAGGTCAGGAGCGAGGCCTGGGCTGAAGATGCAAATTTGGGAGTCTTCAAGCTCTAGATGGTATTGAAAGCCATGGTCTAGATGAATCAGCGAAGAGACTGAGTGTGGATGGTGAAGAGGGAAAGGACTGAGTGCCGAAGCACTCCACACTTTAGAAAATGAGAGTACAGGCCGGGCGCGGTGGCTCACGCCTGTAATCCGAACATTTGGGGAGGCCGAGGCGGGCAGGTCACCTGAGGTCAGGAGTTCGAGACCAGCCTGACCAACATGGTGAAACTCCGTCTCTACTAAAAATACAAAAATTAGCCTGGCGTGGTGGCAGCCACCTGTAATCCTACCTACTCAGGCGGCTGAGGCAGGAGAATCGCTTGAACCCAGGAAGTAGAGGTTGCAGTAAGCCGAGATTAAGCCACTGTACTCCAGCCTAGGCAACAAGAGCGGAACTCCATCTCAAAAAAAGAAAAGAAAAGAAAATGAGAGCGTAAGGAAGAAGCAGTAAAGGTAATGAGAAGGGGAGGAGGGCAACCGAGAGGCAGTAGAGACCCTGTTCCAGGGGCCAGAGCTCTGGGGTGCCACAAATGCTGCTGGCCTGCTGGGCGATGGGAGGAAAGGTAACAGTCACTGACCTTCGTGGTGTGCAGACCATTTGGTAGCCTTAATAAGAGTTGTTTTGGAGAAATGATGGTAGTCAAAGCCTATCTGGAATGGGCAGCAGAGAAAGTGGGGAGATGGAATTGGAGACAGCAAAGCTTGTACAACTCCTTCCGGGAACTTGCTGTGAAGGGAGTCAGAGAAACAGACCACCGAGGAAGTGGGATCGTAAGAAGTTTTGCTTCAGATGGGAGAAATTACAACAGATTTGTATTCTAAAAGGCATGATTCAGCTCAAGATTGGGAAATACTGGCACAGCAGGAGACAGAGAATTGATCAGCAATGTCCTTAACAAGCGAGAGGGGATGGGGTTCCTGTGCAAAGCACACAGCGCGGCCTCAGATCAGAGCAGGGACAATTCAGCCACGGTAAAGGGGACAGTGGAGAACAGGCACCGAAGCAGGTCGAGGGGTGGGTGGAAGTTCCCTTCTGATTACTTGATGTTTTTTTTCCCTTTGGGAAATGAGAAGAAAGGTCATCGGTGAAAGTTGAAAAGGAGGAAGAAAGAGTTGGTAATGGGAGGAGAGAGGTGATGGTGGGTGTGAACGAATGGTTCAGGAGGTTGGGAGAGTAACCAACTGGGGAAATGAAATAATGTGACTCCTGGACAGCATTATGGGCCCACCTAAATTTCCGGGTCATCAATTTATTTTACTTTTTTCTTACTTTTTCTTTTTCTTTTTTCTTTTTTTTTTTTTCCTTGAGACGGGATCTCACTCTGTCACCCACGTTGGAGTGCAGTGGCGTGATCATGGCTCAATGCAACCTCTGCCTCCCATGTTCAAGCGATCCTTCTGCCTCAGCCTCCTGAGTAGCTGGAACGACAAGCATCTGCCACTACGTCCCACTAATTTTTGTATTTTTTGTAGAGAGGGGGTTTTGCCATGTTGCCCAGGCTAGTCTCAAATTCCAGGGCTCAAGGGATCCTCCTGCCTCAGCCTCCCAAAGTGCTGAGATTACAAGTGTGAGCCACTGTGCCCAGCTCAGATCACGAATTTAAACTGAGACCAGTGAGCACAATTGCATGTTTTTCTCGAACCATAGTCACCTGTGTAAGCACAATTGAATGGGTGAGTGAGTTGGAGTCAACCCAGATGGTGGCTTATCCAAGTGAGTTTGATGCAAACAGACAGGGGCAAGGGAGTCAAGAGCGTATGCAAGGCAGTGATTTCATAAAAGGACTGTGGAATTTCAGCTCACGAAGGAGGAGGTGAGGGCACAAGAAGGGTCAGGCATGATGGAAAGGTTGTAGCAATGGATTGTAGGCCCAGATGGGATTGAGGAATTGTTGGAATCCAAATCCCAGAGGGATTAATCTGGGAAGACAGGGCCTTGGTGGTCAGAATGGGATTCCTGAAACAGATCTGCGGGAGCTGCAGTGATTTGTAAGACATACTTTACGATCTGACCTCGGCCAATGAGGGCAGTGACTTCCATGAAGGTTTCCTGGAAAGTTTCAGTTAAAACAGGGTGACCAAAGGATTTTAAGAGGTGGAGGAGGTAGATCTTGCCTAATCATAGACTGAGAATTCCAGAAAGTGTGGAAAGATGGTACTTCTCAGACCGCATTTTCTCTATCCAATATTATCTCAACTTGTCTCTGCATCCTCCAGCCTCATCTTCCCAGGAGGAGGTACTGACCACATACTGCCTGTCCTCAGGACCTTCTAGCGCCTGGCAATCAAGATGGCTGCCGTCTGGCCCGAAGGCAGTTCCCATAAAGCCTTCATCTACGCAGCCCTGCAGCTCACTCTGACTCGCCCAGGACCTCCCTGCCTTGCTCTGTTTCTGCCTACAGGGATCCTACTTATCCCTCAGGTTCTCTTCAAATCTAACCTCCTCCTCCTTTTCTCAGTCCCCTCTCATCATCATTAATCTCTTGACCCCTGTTCTCCTGTGACATATTTTCATTCTTCTGTCCTTCTGCATAACACGTGCCTCTCTGCGTCTTGTATCACAGCCACATTTCGAGCTTCCCCACTTGACTATGAGCTCTCTGAGGCATGGCCTGTGTTTTATTTCTTTTTCTGACCACCACAGTATCTTACCTAGTTCCCTGAACACAGTGGGTTGTTGCCTTGCAAACGGTTGAAGGTTTAATTAGATATGTATCCCCAGAACACAGAAAAATATTTTAAATAATTCTGTGCCATACTCATCTCAGGGCAATTGATAATGTGCTTGGTGGATGCTTTTTTGTGACGTTGACTCTGTGCCCAGAGGCAAGTCCTCCCCGAGCTGAGAACAGGGATGGGAAGGGACAGTCAGCTCCAGGATCCAGGAGAACGACAGACCTCTTCTTCCTGCCCAGAAAAGTACAAATTCCTCTCCTACCCCCAAAACGAGACCTGAAGAAGATAGAGTTATTATATTCAGAGAATATTTGGGATTCTGAATGTGTTCTTGTTTGGCTGCTGTTTCTGTTTATCAGGAGGGAAAACAAGTGTTGACTATGTTTCTGCTACAGAAAAACAGCAATTGCAACAGAAATGGACGCTTGGTTCAGAATGCAGCCAGTTCCTGAAGCTCGCCCAGGGCTTTGCTTCCCTGCAGTTCTAAGCCCTGTTCCTGCGCATGGTCCCCAGCTCCCTCCCTGGGTGTGGAACACGCTGGGAAAGAGTGGATGTGGGAAGGAAGGGAGGAGCAGCGAGTGAGCCGCTTCTAACACTAGGTGTTCAGCTTTGAGCCCAGAGCTCCTCCCCAGGTAGGACGAGGCCTGGAGCTCAGGGCTGAGACCCCACCTCCCGTTGAAGGCTTTTCTCCATGTGTCTGAGGCCTCTCCAAGTCCTCTGACCTGCCACAGCTTCTCTCTCCAGTCTTAGACTCAAGAAGGGCACAGGACTATACAGAGGGCAGTGAAGGCACAGCTCAGCAATGCAACAGTGATGGTCCCGTGGCCAATCTGTGCTAGGCAGCTTCCTGGTGAAGACCAAGGGCAGGGGAGGTCCCCAGGTCTCCGTCCCTCCTCCCAGCAGTCCCGAGCACAGCTCCAGAATTCACTCACCCTGTGCTTGTTGAGGTTGTGTCTCTCCACACAGGCCCCTTTGAGGCAGAACTTGCCCTCGCCACAGCTGGTGCCATCGGCCCAGGGGAAGTGGCGGGTCTGGCACACCATCTGTCCCTTGGCCTTCCCAGTGCACCACAGCTTGGTGCAGTACTGCATGTAAGGACAGGGCTTGGAGCCCACGCCAAAGGCCAGCTCGCACTGCTGGCTCAGGGTGTAGCTGGCACCGGGCAGATCCTCGGGCAGGGAGATGGGCTTGCTGGGTTGGTCCAGGAGGCAGTCACCTGCAGAGAGCCGAGGGCGTTCGTTAGGATGAGCTGGGAAGATGAGGTTTGGCTAGCCCAGGGCAACAGGAATGCACTCATGTCAGAGCCCAGCTCCGAGGGGGCACCCACACCGAAGGTACAGAGGACGGAGAAGTGAGCACCTCCACCAGGGGCAGCAGCAAAGCCTCCTCCGAGGCGGCCTCACTGCCCTCCCGCCGTCCCGGCTTACCGTGCCCGCTGTCCAGGAAGTCAGTGATGATGGCAGCACTGCAGGCTGACCAGGGGTTGGCGCGGTCGATCTGGATGAGGGTCGGGGACATCATGTGGTTGGCTCGGAGCTTCCCAAACACCTCCTCACAGACCTTCACACTGTCATGGGGCATGTTGAACACGTGGCCTGTCGGGTGAGGCAAGAGGACTGAGAGGGCAGGAGGAAGGATACGGGGGTTGGAGGGAGGGATGGGGCAGGGGAACTAGAAAGCATATGTCAGCGGTTTTCAGGCTGGTCATTGCCACCTATCAACAGACTGCTTTCAAATGTCCTCCAGATCATGTTCTTGTGTTTTCTGTCCCCTGCATCAGGCTGTGGGCTCCCTGACAACAGAATGTACCTCCGTGTCGTTAACATGGTGTCCCCACAGTGCCTAAGTGCTGAGACACTCTACTGAGGGGCTCAAACCACATCACCGGCCAGTGGGGCTGCAGCAATCGGAAAAAGTACAACAAAGCTGCTGCTAAGGCTCACTGTGCCCTGAGAAGGGGTCCTGAGGCTTCAGAACACAAGGGGCAAAGACACGTGTCTCCCACCCTCCAGGGCGTCCCAGGCAAACCCAGAAGACCCCAAGAGGAGCTTATCCAGCCTTACCCAGCTCGTGGGCAGTGGTGAAGGCGGATGGAAGCCCATCGTCCTCAATGACAGAGCAGCTTCTCTTGGGGTCACACATGGTGCCCACATCGGCCATGCCCAGGGTGTCACAGGTGGTGGCTCCACACAGGTCCTGCCGGGTGGGGGAGAAGCAGAAGCCAGCCCAAAGTTAGAGACAGTGACAGAAAGGACCTGAAGGGAAGAAAGGGCATCCTATGGGACATTCCAGCTCGTCTCATTCCAACCTCACCAGGCCCAGCACCTTCCAGCCGGGCCCTTCTTCCTAGGAGGTTGTGGGGCTGTTCACAGAATGAACCCAGGCTGAGGGAGGAAACTGAGGAAGGGCTCTGTGGCCCACCAAAAGACTTTGCCTAAACCCTACGCAGGGAGGTCCTCTGGGAGGAAGTTAGGAGGTACCAAATTAAACTACAAGGGCCACTACTTTACAGAGAGACAGCCCTCCAGACCAGAAAAGCAGTGACTGCCATAGCCAGGGGAGGCTCGCTGAGGCAATAGGGAGGAAGCCAGTCCCATTCCCACCCAGAGGCAGCTTCGAGCAGCCTCAGTCTTTGCTGGGCTGCCTTTTGGCCAACCACGAATTAAGTTCAGATTCTCAGCCAGAGGGCTGCAGGCCAAGGACCCACCCATGCCAGCAATTTGGCTGCCTTAGACTGGGAGGAAGCAGTGAGGTGAACCCAAGTCCCCATCCAGACACAGTTTCATTGGCTACAGAAGCACAAGGGGACACAGGCTCAGTGGCTGCTAGGAAGAAAGATACATGAAATAGAGGGATGGCCACCTAAGCAGGAAGGTCCCTCGTTTTGTACTGAAGCTTAACTTGGCTGCAGAACCTAGGGCCTCCAGCAGCAAACCCTGACAGGAAGTATTCCCAGGGGACACAGAAAGGCAGGATAGGGCTTCCGGGGTGGATATCTCAAAGAACTTACTGAGTGTCGTTGGCCAGAAACACTGCCAGATACCTTAAAAGCCCAAGAGTTGGAAATAGGATGAGACACTTGTATACATTCTGCTCCTCTTAAGAAGACGTGTGTTGGGTCAGGCACAGTGGCCCACACCTGTAACCCCAGCACTTTGGGAGGCCGAGGCAGGTGAATCACCTGAAGTCAGGAGTTCGAGACCAGCCTGGCCAACATGGCGAAACCCTGTCTCTACTAAAAATACAAAAATTAGCCAAGCATGGTGACGGGTGCTTGTAATACCAGCTACCAGGGAGTCTGAGGCAGGAGAATCGCTTGAACCTGGAAGGCAGAGGTTGCAGTGAGCCAAGATCGCACCATTGCACTCCAGCCTGGGCGACAAGAGCAAAACTCCAACTCAAATAAAAAAAAAAGAAGAAGAAGACGTGTGTTGAATCAGTGATGCTGGTTCTCTCTTCATTACATCGCTGCTTTCAATGCATAAGGCATTCTGCATTTCATAGGAAGCTACTACGTGTGTCACCCCATTTAATCCTCACAATAGGCTTATGATGCAGATACATTATTATATCTATTTGTCAGAGGTGGGAACTAGGTGCATGCCCATAGTTCAACATGGCCATGATGTATTAAATGCTGACACTGTGCATGCACTTTGCACGAATGGCCCTATTTAATCCTCACAACATCCCACTGAAATAACGACTATTATTACCACCTTCCACAGGCAAAGAAGCACATGTCTGCATGCATGTGCATGTATATGTGAGGCCGCATGTACATCTGTGTACATGCTGGCAAGGGGCGAAGGTGGGCAGCAGCACAGCGCAGGGAGCCAGGAGCCATGGGGCATGGGAGGAAAAGCGGTCAGAGTACAGAAAATCAGCAAAATTTAATCCAAAGCACTCAGAGGTTTACCACCTGAGCAGTCAAACTTGGCTTCCCACGGTCAGGTGATAGTCACACCTCCTAATGAGTGAACAGTTATTTCGAGGGTGACCAGCCTGAACCCGGGTGCACCAGAGGCAATGACGTGTGCCCTGCACATCCAGCCAGATCTGCCACCTGTGCTTGCTGGAAGCATTTCTTCCACTTCCAGGAGCCCCATGGAGGACTATAAATGCCCTTCTCTTTCCATATTCTTCCATCTTCAAAGACTCACTCTCCCAGAAAGTTTTCCTTCCCAAGAGCTCTGAAACCTAGAAAACAACCACTGTCAAAACTTGGGAGGGGCCTGGGCACAGTGGCTCATGCCTGTAATCCCAGCACTTTGGGAGGCCAAGGAGGCAGATCGCTTGAGTCCAGGAGTTCAAGCCCAGCCTGGGAAACATAGTGAGACTCCATCTCTACAAAATATAAACAAAATTAGCCAGGCATGATGGTGCATACCTGTAATCCCAGCTACTCAGGAGGCTGAGGTGGGAGGATCACTTGAGCCTGGGAGGGTAATGCTACAGTGACCCGTGATCACGCCACTGCATTCCAATCTGGGTGACAGAGCAAAACTCTGTCTCAAAAAACAAAGAACAAAACAAAATAAAACTTGGGAAGGGACCTTCACCTGACCAGCAGTTTAGGGAATGTGACAGCTGAGGAACATGGATCAGCGTGTGAACTGTGGGGAAGGGAGCCAAGATAAGGAGGGCAGGGATGAAGGCTCTTGCAAGGGCATAGTGAAGGATGTAGGTGTAGGATTGGTGTAGTGTAAGACCCCGCAAGGCTGGGGCTCTGGACACTCTAGCCCAGCAGTTGCAGCCTGTGGGGGTGCCTCTGGGCTGCCCTGCACGCTCACTGCTCCCTGTGTAACAGGGAGAGGGTGCGGAAATAAGAATCAGGAAGTCTAGATTCTGGTCCTGGCCCCATCACTAAGTACATGTGTGACTTTATCCAAGTCCTCTCTCTCTTTGGGGCCTTGGTTTCCTGCTCCGAGGAAGGGCCAACTTTCAACTAGGGCCTGAATCAACCAGTGCTTTCAGCCTCTGCTCCTTCCCCGGTCCCAGAGCATGCGGCCCCTTCTGGCCCTGTAGGTTATGAAAGGAACCCACAGAATGACATGTTTTCAGAACCCCAAGGAACATCTTGTCTACTGACCCAAGTCATGTAGTTGACAGCACTCACTCTCAGAAGAGTGGAAGTCACCCACGCAGAGATTCAGAGCCCTGCTCCCCAGCCCCGCTCTTCACAAATGCCTAGACCGGGCAGGACACAGTGGCTCGGGCCTGTAATCCTAGCACTTTGGGAGGCCAAGGCGGGAGGATGACTTGAGGCCAGGAGGTCAAGACCAGCCTGGGCAGCATAACAAGACCCCATCTCTACAAAAATTAAAACGTTAAAAAGAAAGAAAGAAACTGCTAGACCAGATTGAATGCTCAGACTGGGATCTAGAGGGCGTCTGGAACTCAGCCACCCTGCAGCCGCCTCTGTGGCTGGGAAGTCCTTACGGCCAAAAGCCTCCTTCCTCCTAGGGAGGGTGGATTTTCTCTGGAGCAAAGACATGCAGCTGCAGGCCCTGCTTGGCCAGGAGCAACCTGTTCTTTCCATCAAGAAGTCCCGGTTTCCCTGGATCAAACAAGAGGAACAAGGAAAGAGCCGGCAAATTTCCTGAGGGTGAGAGTGGCTCTGGAAGCAGCCGTCTTGCAGTAACCAGCGTCTTCACTGTGGGAAGACACAGCTGTGTGGGGTCAGAAGCTCTGCCTGTCCTCCTGCCACCCCTGCAGGGACTCAGTGAGGAACCGCTGGGCCTTTGCACTTTGAACGCCTACAAGTGCTTATACAGGGGCCCAGCAGTGCCTCATCTGTGGCATCAAAAATCTCCACCCTTCTGGAATGAACTCAGAGGCACTAAAACTGCCTTAACCTCTTCAGTTCAAGTGCTTGCCTCCAAAAAACAGAAGCTGTTCTACCTTCTTCCTCCTAGAAGGTGTAAGTATTCCTAACCCAGACCCTACCTGACTTACGATTCCCAGCAATTGGCCATTTCTCTTTGTAGCTGCAGCTGCTTTTCCAGATGATCCTGGAATCATCTTGGCCAGGAACCTAATCCTCCTGGACTGTTATTTTCTAACTGTCCCTTCTTATAAAATAATTTAGGATTGGAGCCACAACTTAAAAAAATAAACAAGGATAACACCTGGCAGTGGCTTGTTTACCAATGTCACTCCATACACGCCTCCAGCACGATTCCCACCAGCTGCCCTCCCTGAGAACCTCCTTCCTACCTCCTCTCATTTCCCAGGCATGTACCAAGATGCTCAATGTTTTCCAGCAATACAAAGAGAGAGGGATACACAAAAATCAAGCACATTAACATTTTTTTTTTTTTGAGACTGGGTCTCGCTCTATTGCCCAGGCTGGAGTACAGTCGTGTGATCTCGACTCACTGCAACCTCCGCCTCCTGGGTTCAAGCATCTCGTGCCTCAGCCTCCCAAGCAGCTGGGATTACAGGCATGCACCACCACGCCTGGCTAATTTTTGCATTTTTAGTAGAGACTGGGTTTCACCATGTTGGCCAGGCTGGTCTCGAACTCCTGGTCTCAAGTGATCCACCTGCCCCAGCCTCCCAAAGTGCTGGGATTACAGGTGCGAGCTACTGCACCTGGCCGCACATTAACATTTTTAATGTGGCAGAAGACTTATGCATTCTCATGTAGCCAAATTCCTGCTTCCATTGAAGTTCTAGGCAGGAGAGCCAGAGCTCATCTTCATGGCTGCATCACAGCATCCAAGTATTACACTCACAGGACTTTAGGGCTGTCCTCTCATGTTGCAGATGAGGAAGCTGAGGCTCAGTGACTTGAGATTACACACCCCAGTCCCTGTGGCTATTGAGCGAAGAATGAGATCCCAAATCCAAAGCTACGTTCTTTGATCTAAATCATGCAGCACTGCTTAGGAGACCATAATTACTGGTGAAAAGCACCCTGCGCTAGTATTACTACTGTGCCTTTAACTTGTTTCCCATCTGAATCTCTGCCATGCGTCACTGTATTTCCTTGTCCAGCCCAAAATCCATGTCTGTTTGTAATCCCCAAGGATGGGAGGGCCTTGCTTTGCTAGAAGAAATAAAATCTAGCAATTCAGTGCCTTGGCAATGTGATGAAGAATGTTAGTTACTTCTACTGGCAGATTCTATTTCGCTGGCATATAAATCCCTCCAGATGTACAAAATGGTATTATTGCAAGAGAGTGAGGTAA